TCCAATATGCTACTGAGGAAGAGCAGAGGACAAGTACAAGTAACCCCAGAAAGAGTGAAGCGGCTGGGCCAAAGCCGAAAGGACCCTCAGTTGTGGATGTGTCTGATGGTGAAAGGAAAGTCCAATGCTGCAAAGAACAATACTACATAGGAACCTGGAATGTAAGATCTATGAATCAAGGTAAGCTTGACGTGGTCAAAAATGAGATGGCAAGACTGAACATCGATATCCTAGGAATCAGTGAACTAAAGTGGACAGGAATGGGCGAATTTAACTCAGAAGACCATTATATCTACTACTGTGGCCAGGAATCTCGTAGAAAAAATGGTGTGGCCTTTATAGTCAACAAGAGAGTGCAAAAGGCAGTACTGGGATACAATCTCAAAAATGACAGAATGATTTCTGTCCGATTCCAAGGCAAACCATTCAACATCACAGTAATCCAAGTCTATGCCCCAACCACTGATGCAGAAGAGGCTGAAGTGGACCGGTTCTATGAAGACCTACAACACCTCCTAGAACTAACACCAAAAAATGATGTCCTCATCATCATAGGGGACTGGAATGCTAAAGTAGGAAGTCAAAAGGTAACTGGAATAACAGACAAGTTTGGCCTTGGAAAGCAAAATGAAGCAGGGCAAAGGTTAACAGAGTTTTGTCAAGAGAACACACTGGTCATAGCGAACACCCTTTTCCAACAACCTAAGAGGCGACTCTACACATGGACATCACCAGATGGGCAACACCGAAATCAGATTGACTATATAATTTGCAGTCAAAGATGGAGAAGCTCTATCCAGTCAGTAAAAACAAGACCTGGAGCTGACTGTGGTTCAGATCATGAGCTACTCATTGCAAAATTCAGACTTAAACTGAAGAAAATCGGGAAAACCATGAGGCCATTCAGGTTTGACCTAGATCACATCCCTGATGAATATACAGTAGAGGTGAAGAATAGATTCAAGGGTCTGGATTTGATAGATAGAGTGCCTGAAGAACTATGGACAGAGGTTCGTGACATCGTACAGGAGGCAGCAATCACCACCATACCAAAGAAAAAGAAATGCAAGAAAGCAAAATGGCTTTCTGATGAGGCTTTACAAATAGCAGAGGAAAGAAGGAAAGCGAAAGGCAAAGGCGAAAAGGAAAGATTTACCCAACTGAACGCAGATTTCCAGAGAACAGCAAGGAGAGATAAGGAGGCCTTCCTGAATGAACAGTGCAAAGTAATAGAAGAAAACAATAGAATGGGAAGGACTAGAGATCTCTTCAAGAAAATTGGAGAAATCAAGGGAGCGTTCCATGCAAAGCTGGCCATGATAAAGGACAAAAACGGTAGGGACCTAACAGAAGCAGAAGAGATTAGGAAAAGATGGCAAGAATACACAGAAGAACTATACAAGAAAGACCTCAATGTCCTTGACAAACACGACGGTATAATCACTGACCTTGAGCCAGACATCCTGGAATGTGAAGTTAAATGGGCCTTAGAAAGCATTGCTAACAACAAAGCTAGTGGAGGTGATGGTATTCCAGCTGAGCTATTCAAAGTCTTAGAAGATGATGCTGTTAAAGTGCTGCACTCCATTTGCCAGCAAATTTGGAAAACGCAACAGTGGCCACAGGATTGGAAAAGATCAGTATACATTCCAATCCCAAAGAAGGGCAACGCCAAGGAATGTTCAAACTATCGCACAATTGCACTCATATCACACGCTAGCAAGGTCATGCTCAAGATCCTACAAGCTAGGCTTCAACAGTACGTGGATAGAGAACTACCAGAAGTACAAGCTGGGTTTCGAAGAGGTAGAGGAACTAGAGATCAAATTGCCAACATTCGCTGGATTATGGAGAAAGCAAGAGAGTACCAGAAAAATATCTACTTCTGCTTCATTGACTATGCTAAAGCTTTTGACTGTGTGGATCACAACAAACTATTTGAGAAACCTGTATAAGGGTCAAGAAGCAACAGTTAGAACTGGATATGGAACAACTGATTGGTTTCGCATAGGAAAAGGAGTACGACAAGGATGTATATTGTCACCTTGCTTATTTAATATATATGCAGAGTACATCATGCGAAATGCTGGCCTGGATGAATCACAAGTGGGAATTAAGATTGCTGGGGAAAAGATCAACAACCTCAGATATGCAGACGATACCACTGTAATGGCAGAAAGTGAAGAGGACCTAAAGAGCCTCTTGCTCAGAGTAAAAGAGGAGAGCGCAAAAGTGGGCTTGAAGCTCAACATCAAAAAAACTAAGATCATGGCATCCGGCCCCATCACTCCTTGGCCAATAGAAGGGGAAGTTGTGGAAGTAGTGACAGACTTCACGTTCCTGGGATCCCAGATCACCGCAGACTGTGACTGCAGCCATGAAATTAAAAGACTGAAGCTCAAATACTTTGGCCACCAAATGAGAAGGGAGCACTCACTGGAGAAGACCCTGATGCTGGGAAAGATTGAAGGTCAAAGAAGACGGGGACGGCAAAGGATGAGATGGTTAGACAGTGTCATAGATGCAACGAACATGAAATTGAGCACACTTCAGAGGACAGCGGAAGACAGGAGGGCCTGGCGGGATCTGGTCCATGGGGTCGCGCAGAGTCGGACTCGACTGTGCGACTGAACAACAACAACATATCCATAATTCTGAAAAAAGAGTCCCTGTGAGCACAGAAACTTCTACTGCTGCTAGCAAAGGCATGAGCAAGGCTTACGATCCCTGCCCCCAAAGAAGAACCCTCTGTTTTGTTTGAAGTGTGATTTGGAAAGTTGTTCAGGCATGTCTCCTACCTTCACACCCCACTGATCCGTCCCTTTGTCAAATTTCCTAGTGCTCTAAGTTTAGCATAGCATAAGGAAAATATGTCAAGTTAGGACTAGCAACCCAAACAGTCTACCCACCTCTCTTGAGGGACCCTGGTACAATGGAAACCAGATGTGCCATCTGAACTCAGTCTCTCTTGTTCAGCCAGCATGCAGAATTTCTCTTATGCTGTGCATAGCCCGGCCTTTCTCCCTACACAGCAGGATGGCAGTAAATACATTTTTACACAACACCATGTGTGCATGTTGATATACAGATATAGTATCCATAAGGGGAGATATGAGTATATGGAATCAGACAGCCACTGCATGTTAGAAAGCAATACATGTGTGAAACCAAGTTTACTTGATGTCAGGCACAGTGATAGCAATACTTCCCTTATTCCTTATTAGCCAACTATAACTAAATCCTGCAGCTAGAAAGCAAGACCAAAGCTCCAAATCCAAGACAGAGACAGCTTACAATTGTAAACCCTATTGCGCTTGGTATGTTCACCAGTATCGAAAGAACTCATAGGTTATGCCTTAAGCAAAACAAAGCAACATCCCTCATATTCCGCCCTGAGCCTGCCCAAGCAGGGAGGGTGGAATATAAATCAAAAGTATTAAAAAATATATATATGAGTTGGATTAAGGACTGGATTAATTTAGAGAATAATAGACTACTTAAACTTGAAGGCCACGACTTGATGTCAGGTTGGCATAACTATAGTACCAAAACAAGATGCCAACAAGTAATTGGGAACAGTGGGAAATAAAACCAAGATGGGTGAAAGATAAGAAAATAGGCTTTTATAGTAAATACACAGGCTTAGACGACATATGGATTAACGAAAGAGTTATTGGTAAAACTTATAATTTCTTATTGGAGTATAAAATGCAAGGTGAATCGGTGAAGCCCACAATGATATCTTGGGCGCGTGATACAGGATGAAATATAGAATTAGAAGAGTGGTTTAAAGTTTGGACGAGAAATATTAAATATATTAAAGCAAGTAATTTTAAGGGAAATGTACTGAAAATGTTCTACAGGTGCCATATCACGCCAGATAGACTTAATAAAATTAACAAAAACCTATCGAAAAACTGTTGGAAGTGTAAGGCTAATATAGGCACTTTTTTACCATACATGGTGGATATGTAAAAAAACTAAAAAATATTGGGAAACTACTAAAGTTTCCCAATTGAAGGAATTTTGGGAATAGAAGTGCAAAGCAAACCAGAAATATTTTTGTTAAGTATATTGCCAGACTCATATAATAGAACAGAAATGTATTTAATCATGCATTTATTGATTGCAGCAAGATTACTGTTTGCAAAATAATGGAAAGATGAAAATATACCAACAAAAGAGGAATATATAAGGAAAATCTTAGAGGGTGCAGAAATGGAAAAATTGGTATTTGCCATTCAAAATAAAAATGAAAAGGAGTTTGAGAAATACTGGAAACAATTGTATGAATGGTTATAAAAATTTAAAGGGGTTGAATAATACGGTATAACTTGATGTAGTGAAAAAAAGGAAGATTCTCTGTAAAATTTATGTTGTAACAGAAGTATGGTGTGTTTTTGTTTATAAAGCAAATAAAAATGGAAAAAATTGAAATAAATAAATAAATAAATAATCCTCATTTCAATACCATCAAACAGTATTTGATGACTATGTATATATGCCAACCTAGCAGTTTGAAAGCAAGAAATTGCAAGTAGATAAATAGGTACCACTTCGGTGGGAAGGTAACAGCATTCCGTGCGCTTCAGTGTCTAGTCATGTCAGTCACATGACCATGGAAACATTTTCGGACAGCACTGGCTCTTCAGCTTGGAAACGGAGATGAGCACCACCCCCTAGAGTCGGATTTGACTGGCTTTTGAGCAAGGGAAACCTACATATAATTCAGGCAGGACTGCTGTATTCTGTACAGAGGCTGCAATCACACACACTAAATAATCCACTTTCAATGCACTTTCCAACTGGGTTTTACTGTGTGAACTGGCAAAATCTAATTGGAAATGGGATTGAAAGTGGATTGAAAGTGGATTATCTAGTGTGTGTGATCGCAGGCAGAGTTACAAAGTTTGATCATGTTCTACCAGAAATTACATTTTGAATATCTGCATTTTTTGCAAGAAAAATAGAAAACCCCAAGAAAATCATATCTGCCCTACCCGCAGTGTTGTAATTGTGGAGGGGTCTCGGAGCCGTCCATCTTCGTCTTTGAGATTATAGCCCTCTGGTCGTTTATCTCTTTCACTAACTTTCCATAGTTTTACAGTTTTATCTGGAAGAGAAAGGAAAAGGCTTCTGAGACAGATGTATTGTTATTGGAGCAAGGAGGTTTCTGTTACTAGTCTCCCCAAAATTCCCTCCCATAGACAGAGCTCAGTAGTGATACATGAATTGAACTGCTGGCTAAACTCATTCAGATACTCAGAAGTCTCACTGCAGACTTGAGTCCTGATGCATTGAGGTTAATTATTATATTTCAAACTCTTCAGAAATGTTGGAAGTCTTTAACATAAGAACTTTATTTTTCTTATACAATACAATGCCACTTCTTTCTTCTCCCCTTTGCCCCTTACAAATCTGTTTTCCACTATTAAAATAAAAAGAACATGGAGGAATTGTCTTTCTATATTTTAGACATATCCAGTTATATACTATAATGGCTTTTTAGGTTTATTTAGCAGTAATGGAATTTTTTCAATATGTTTACATCCTAAACGAGTAAGGATGACCAGTGTATAAATCTCTTGATCACATTTTCAGATATGAGGCATCTAAACTTATTTCAATACAGTCACAAAAACAGTTGTATTGTAAAAGTATGTAAAAGTAAAAATAATTTATCTCAATATCCTGCAGAGCCACACGCCAATGATGCTTGTCGTTTGGCAAAAAAGTAAAATTAACATGCATGATTTTTCAGTCTACCTAGCATATTGCCAAATATTTTAAGCAGTTTTTAAATGGTGAACCACCAAACTGTCCACAAAAATCCATTCATTGTGATCTGGACTCTAAAACTGAGAAACCCACATATTGTATATGTCAAGCTCAATGAATTTTACTCTGGTCCAGAATAAAGAAGTTGTTAAGACAAGAAAACCAGCATACACAATAAGAGACATTCAGAGTTACCTGAGATCTAACTGCTTTAGCTAAACTTTGATTGCAACAGATTACATTGCAAGAGCAAGGGGTGAGAAAGGATGACCCAGAAAGAAGACCAATCATGTCCATAATTTACTCAAAAGTCAGTTTCAACCCCCTCCTCACAGCGACAAGAATAAAAGCTGACGTTTTATCATTGACAGTGAATCCACTCTAAATTCCACAATTGCCAGCTTGCCTGGCAGGTGGATATTTCCATTGGCTTCATCATTTTGCTGTCATCCCATTTATCGCATGCCATGAAGTCCTTTAGGTAAAAGAGCCTCAGGAACATGTGGCTTTTATTCTGAATAATGGTGTTTTCTTTTCCCCCTCCTGGAGGGTATTCTATCAGCAGTTTGTCATTGCTCTCACCAACCATTAAAGACAATCTTATTCATCTTCATTTCCCCCCCCCCATACACGTGGATTCCAGTCAACTGTTGTTAATCTTGTTTGCATTTGCTCCTTTTGATGTAAGGGTCTTTCTGCATATTATACTGTTTTGGGGAATAACATATGAACATTTGGGGAGATGCAGTATGGAGGGATGGAAATCTGTATCATTTTATGGGGGTTTTCTATCATATGAGAACACCATCCTGAATAAAAAGAAAATATTCCTGTTAATCAAAAAACTATTTAAAATCGCAATTAACAGAACATTAGACTACATAATTAATCTTCATTGCATTTCAATGAGTCTTCCCCCTAAATGAGTTTAATAAGTCTCAGAATTTTATTACAATGATCAATAGAGTAAATTCTGTAACACAAAGTAAGTTGACTATGAATGATAATTAGACCTCTCCTTTTCCCCCTGTAGTAATTAAGTCACATCCATCTTAAGGCCTCATTCATCCTAGTAACATCACTGGATACTCCTGATATTTATCTGAACATAACATAAAGCATACGCTTAGCACAGCAGAAAACAGAAACAAATTAGGATAATGTCTGTCCTCCACCCACCACCTATAAAAGAGAAGTCTTATTCCTACCATCATCTTTCTATCGAGTTCAACATGTTTTTAAAACCAGATTAGCAAACTGCATTATATACTTTTAACCTGATATAACAGTAGCAGTATATTAGAATCCAAAACGAATTTGGACTGAATATGTGACTTTCATACATTTGAACCATCAAAGATATGCCTCTTCAATTGTGCTACCACAACAGGTTGGCTTTCTACTAAGAAAAGAATGTGAGCAATTCAGTTTATGGCTTTTTCCTTCCCATGCTTAGGATCTTGGTTGATCAGCATTTGTTAGAACTGGAAGGAATTTTTTCCAAGCTAGTAGCCCAGAAAGGGCCATGGATCACCTGTCAGTAAGAGGAGACAGTACTGAACTAGATGAATCGATTGTCTGACTCTATATAAAGCAGCTTTATCTGTTCATATATCAGAGAGACGAGCCTATTTGCATATTTCTCTCTCCATAATGGGGCATGCAAATTTGAGATGGTTCTTAAGTTTCTTTATTACAGGTACCTTTGCTTTTGGTCTACACTGTTTTCTGACATGATCACTGTCAGCTAGCTGCCATGTTTTGCTTGTTCCCTTCTCTGATCCTGGCTTGCTCACTGCTCTGCCGCTTGCCGTAAACAGCGATAGAGAGACTGTGAGAACCAGTGCTGCCAGATGGCGTTATCTGTCTGGCCTTGTGAAGGGGGGAGGGCTTGCGTTCCACCGCTGGTGTGAATCTTTTGGCTCTCATGAGGCACTGAGACTCTTCTGCTTATCACATATCCTCCCGCCAGGAGAATTCCCGCCCGTGCGCTCAAGTTTCATTTGCTTAGCCATTTGCCTCATCCTGCTATATGTAGGGATGTTTC